GAGATGTTGAGAAAGATTCTCCGCCCATATATCTCGCTCAATGGCGACAGGAATAATGGACAGGCCTTGGAAACTGTATTAGAGAATGGGTTACTGGGAATAGGTATGGGATTTTCCTCACACCGTAGCCAAACAGATAGGATGTCACACCCAGCGAACCCAGAATAGACGATTTGTTACCGAACCCGCGATCCCCATCTACCACACCAGGGGCAAATAATGAGGATGTAAATGGACTTGTATCATGCTCAGATTCTGGCCTTGTCTTTATGTTGGAAGAATATGCGTGCACCTACCTGATGAAAGTGATCATGCTGACGAGGACAGGAAGAAACCATTTCCTAGCTACAGGGTAACTTCTAATGCAATGATCAGATCAGAAGCAGTTCAGTGGCCCAAGCATCCATACCCACTCACTTTGGATTCAACGGGTCATTTTGACCCTTCCATCCCACAATGCCTTGGTCAAGGTCTGTAATAGGATATGTATTAGGGGTTCCGATGGGTGACTCCTGGACATCTTGTTAGCATACAGCTACCTCCTAAAACCGGGTAGTTCACTCACAACCTCTGCCCTTTCTTCATCTTGCTCTACCATTATCAGATCGCAGGATTGATGGCACCGCGGTCAAAATAGTCACTCGAGAAGCAAAGATGATGAGATAAAGGAGATGAAGGAAAACAAACAATTAACTGTCCAATCGAAGTAAATGGTGATGATCAATGACCTTCATAATGGCTGCCATAATGCCTTTTCTTTTTCTTCTCGTGGTAGTAGATACATTAAAAGAACTACGTAGAACCTCGGTGCCAGCAAATTGCGCACTTGGGGTTAGCGCCATCTCGAAATAGTCAAAAAATGCGAAAAAAAATCCGAGTCTAACCTGAATTGCGGACAAAAAAGGCCAATAAGGGACCAGACGGAGTTTACCCTTATCTCCAGATTGGTCTAATTCCCGAACATAGTATGCTTATACTGTAGATCCGAGTAGTAAATATACTCTAGTATTGCTCAGTAATGTGTAACAGAGGAATATTCTACGTTCACATATTCTGTACCCTCCAAATATATTAGTTCTTATCTCTACCTGACACGATGGCAAGCCAAGCATGCTGCAACAAACCCCCCAAAGGAGAGCCAGCTGTTGTCTCGGAGGATCAAATCGACCAAGCGGCAGGAATTAACCTGTGTTCGTACAATTTCTTGAATACACATATCTCATTATTGATTAACGTTTCTACATGCAGACGTGTTCGGTAATCGGAGCGCCAAACGAGGCGTGGTGCTTGTGTATGATATCTTTGGGCTCTACCAACAGACCAAGCAAGGAGCCGCGCTCCTTGCAAAAGAATTGAACTGTCTGGTTATTATCCCAGACTTCTTCAATGGGGAAGCAGCTAATATTGAATGGGTGGGGATGGATACTGCCGAAAAAAGAGACAGCATGATGGGGTTCTTTGCGAGAAAGGCAAGCCCTGAAAAGAACCTAGCAACCCTCTATTCCGTAGCAAACGAAGCTAAGAGTCTTTATACCACGGTTGAAAAATGGGCTGTGTTAGGATTATGCTGGGGTGGAAAGGTACGAATTTCTATTCCCACAAACCGAGAAAGGTCTCGGGGATTGAAATTTACTAACCTCCTGCCTAGCTCGCTGCATTGGCTTCCGCTGATCAGACGCCATTTGTGGCTTCTGGTCAAACCCATCCTGCGTGAGTGACATGCCTTTGTCCTGATTGAGAGGTCCACCTATTGCTGACTGCATGCTTAGGCTTTTGAACATTGCAGATGCTAAACGCATGTCTATACCGCACATTTGCCTGGTATCCCCTGATGAACCTGCAGACATCTTACAGCCGTACAAGGAAGCTTTGCCGGACCACTCCGAATTTGAGCTATACGGTACGATGTTCCATGGCTGGATGGGAGCACGAGCAAACCTTGAGGACGAGAACAATCTTCTGGAGTTTACTAGAGGGTAAGTGATTTCGCATGGCAAATTGCATTTTCATTTCTGACAGTGCGCAGATATAAGCAGGTGGCCGCCTTTTTCGAGCGATGGCTATAAGGCACTTTGTATTCAGCACGCACGCCCATCGAGCCCTATTTCTGTTGAGTCCCTATCAGTTGAATAACAAGATATGTTGATTCGCTCTATAAAACTGCTAAGTTGATAGAAGGTAGCGATCATCTCGGTCCATCAGCCAGTGATTTCAAAATGTTCTATGTTCTTAGAAATTGACCACGTGGAAAGTAAGGTTTCTCTTCCACTAAACTCTTTTAAAAAAAGCTTAAGCCTCTGTGGAGAGATGAAGGGAGCCATGTTGTAGATGTGGGATTTGAATTTTTGGCAGATACCTAAAGGCAAATAACGAAGCACTTTATTTGATTATACTATCTACGAGCACCTAATCAGTCAGGTCCACTGATCTTGTATTTTATTGATGTCTTTGCTAGAACATTATTAATTCTTTACTGGAATGATAGGCAAAGCTAGGTTGGTTACATGACATCTTTAGGACCAGACGCCTGATATGGAGAAAAGAAAACTGCGTTGGATGAAAATTGGAATGAACTTGGATACCGACAAGGTACAGTAAGTTGGTAAATCTTGGATGGCCTATACAGACAGAGCAATCCATAATCACCGTCCTTGTATAGAAACTAGGCGGTCCACGTTGTTTTCTAGACTTCGGCAAGGCCTAACTAACCCGAAGCTAAACCGGACTAGGTTAGGTTTTAGGTAGGTCGGATTTAACGGGAACAAGAACTGTCGTTGTGAAACGAAATACAGCCATTTTACCACTTTCCTTGTTCTGTACAAGGCAGTTGCCCTTCAAGTCGGCGAGGACCAGATCTTAATTATGGCGCTTGAAAGGAATTCAAAAACTACAGTTTCCAGTTATTCTAACAGTCAATATCGTTGTTCCCAAATTTCGGTGACCAGCGGTCAAACCACCACCTCTGAAGCCCAAACGGCAAAAGGCGACAATGACCGAAAAAGGAGATCCTGCGAATCTTGTCGCCAGCGCAAAATCAAATGTGACAGACGAAATCCATGCAGCCAATGCACGTCATCATTCTATGGTATGCTAGGAGTTTTATAAGTTGCGTGCATTATATGAAACTGATTTCCTAAGATTGCGTCTACGTTCAGCCTCTTCCAAGGCGAAAAAAGTCAGGGATTTCTTCCGATCGAATAGTCTTCCTCGAAAGCAGGTTGAGGGCCATGGAGTCACTTATGCCGCTAGCACCGGCAAAGTCTTCAACAGTCGCAGTCCCGACAGTAACAGCGTCCATCAGTTCTCACAATGCGAATCACGGGCAATACCCCGCTACCCCCAAACCACATAACAATAGCAATGTCAACCCACCAGAAGATAGAAAGTATGGAACAGCATACCATATCATCGAGCAAGGTGAAATCGAGTTCCAGGGCCGATCTGGAGATCGAACGTTCATTCAAGACCTCAAGACAAAGCTGTGCGATTGGGATGGTGGTGAAATAACGTGCAGTCAACTCCCTCCAGACAGGTCCTTACCAGGACTCTTTGAGTCCAATAGGCAAACATCAGATCAAGTCAACTTACCCACGAAAGAACTAGCAAGGAAACTGGTGGATGCAGCTTTGGATGCACAGATACTGCAGCCTATTATACACCGACCAAGCTTTAATATTTCCTTCAATTTGATTTATTCCCTTGACAGATTGGAATATGGGACAAGGGAGGTGCTATTCTTGCCACTTCTTTACGCAGTCCTTGCCTATGGCTGTTTGTTCATGGAACCAGATTTGGAAAATCAAGACAGCCACGAAATGATCGCAAAGGGGTATTTTTTATCAGTGTGCCACGATGCCTTTAACCCGCCACTTACGTTCCGATAGTTCAGAATATTTTTCCACAAGCAGGCAACTGCAGGATATCGCGAATTGTCGAGATCTTGTCTCTCTTCAAGCCATCGTCTTCATGAATCTGTTCCTTCTCACCACAAACCGAATCTCGACCTGTTATACATATCTTTGTGCTTCATTGTCAATTGCGGTTCGAATGGGCCTCCATCGGTCTCTTAACACTAACCATGACCTGATCTCTCAAGAAATCGGCAAGAGGTTATTTTGGGCCTTGTGGCTTCTTGTCGATAATGTCGCCTCTTGTTGCGGATTGCCAAGGCCTTTAAGTAATAACGATATAGACCAGGAATTTCCAAGAGAGGTCAACGATGCTTACATCACAAGCAGATATATATCGACACAGCCACAAAATGAGATCTGCCATATTTCCGGTGCAAATGCCTCCTATCGACTTCAAATGATTCGGGATAAGGTCACAAGGCAAATGTATTCTGCTGAAGACTTGGGCTATGATCAGTTGCATGCTTCGACACCATATGCTGCAAATTTCGAGAAATTACGCAGAATCAAAGATGACCTTAAAGAATGGGCTGATACCATACCTCGGGGGTACCTGCTAGGAACATGTTGCAGAGAACCGAGACTCCTAAGGTAAACGTACTTCTCGCTACCTTCTTGCTCATCACTGACCTTTTATAGGGCTCAGTATGTACTCTGTATTTCTTATGCTTACGTTCGTCTCTATCTCTATCGGCCCTTTCTACAATATATGTTCAGGAATTCCGAGCAAAGTCCTTATTACGGTGAAGAGTCGTCTTGTTATGCCATCGCATGCATCCAGGCTAGCCAAAATATCGTATTACTGTGTGAAGACATGTGTAAGCGAGACCTTCTGTGTGGAGGCAACTGGCCAGCTATGCGCATGCTATGCAGCTCCGTCGTAACGCTCTTCTACACTATACTTGCTTCCCGAGGCTCATTCCAACCAGAGTCATTGTTCAAAAGCTTGGCAACTGGAAGGAAGTTATTAGACAAACTAGCGAAGCAAAGCTACCCTGCTAGTCGGTTCAAATTCATACTAGTGGTGAGTGCCAACCCTACTTCCGTGCCTTACATATCTATGCTTGTCTGACACACTTACCGAAGACCATGACCACGACCCTTCCGGAAAATCTGCAAATGGTTCGCGACAGGTTGCTTGACTTTGACTCCGAGATGCCGAATGTGCGTTTAATGGAAACACCCGAACACAATTGCGGTCTTCCCAATGACTCATATACTGCTTCGCTCGCGGGAATGGTATTTTCAGAGAGGCCCGATTCTCACTTAAGAAGGCCCAGTCTTCTTCCATTGGCTGCTGGTTTGATTCAGCAATCCGACGAAGGCATTCATAATTCGGGCCTCAGGAGAGAAAAGCATCAGTATCCCCAGATAGGTCAGGCGCTATCTTCCTCAATGAATGAAACGATTGAGTGGGCTACAATCCAACCGAAGATACAAACTATAGAAACCAACGCTCCTGGAAGCCAACGTCCCCAATCGCCCGGCCAAACTCCCCATTTACAGATCCAGGCTGTTACAGAAGATATTCAGTCCCCACCTATGCCAAATGCGACTGCCCCAGGGCCCTCTGACCAACATTGGCAAGCTCAACCCTTTGGCTCTCACCAAGATGGTTCTGCTGTGACCGTGGGCAATGGTCTTGGTATAGGCAACACCGAGCACTTGGAAATCAGCGGCGAATCGTTGACAGATATATTCAATGCTGGGGAATTCAAACTTGGAGACATAGATGAATTTTTCGATTTTGGAAGCTGGTTTTAGACAGATTGCAGGTGTATATTGATGCAGACCCATACATGAGATGATCTGGAGCGTTGTTATATGGGCCTGGTGCAGATCAAGAACAAAATATTACAATGCTGTGTTTAGGGATATTGGGTGTTAAATTGCATGTAATAAGAGCTTTAATTCATGCTAAAAATTACCGTGTGAAATGAAACTATTCGGTAGCGCCGTGGTGTTTGCTCATTTATTTGTCAAATTTATTGAATCTTCAGGGGTCTGGTCATCTAATTGGCAGGTAACTAGAATATTCTATTCTGAAAAGAATGCGCAGATATTTGCTACACGTCATATACGATCTACATAGCGGCACAGATCATTGGATGGATCCTAAATGCATCGGCTTAGTTGAACAGCATAGGCTTAGCTGAAGAATGAAGAAGGCGTATGTGATGAATCGGATCAAGTAGACACCATGGCAAGAGACTTTTTATAGAATGTAACGAATTGGGGGCGCGAATCAGAACAAATTTGTGAGTCTACTACTTTTATTGATCGATCTAGCTCGGCACGATCCATCGGCACGCCCTATACAACGTTGATGAATGCGGGAATTGGGATAGTGATGATATTTTAGGAAGGCATACTACCGATCAAATAGCTAAGGATCCTGCACATGAAGAAAATCATATCTTGGCATTATACGGGCTTTTGTAGTTTGCGCTTGCTGTCACATGGCATTTGGGTAACTTAATGTTGATACTATCACCATGTTTTTCTATAAAATCCGATAACCTACCTAACCATCTTTTATCTCTTAGAAACGGCAGTAATTGATCGTACATTTGGAACAACCTTGTAGAATGGGGACATGTTACGCACGATCAACCGGTCACAGTCAAGTTAGAAGGGTTGAGGGTTATATTTGCCTTACGCTTCTCAACCTTCTAACACCAACAATATCTATTCTCAACTGGGCCGTTGCTTAATTGGCCTTACTGCGGGATGAGTCCTATTGAGGTATCGAGGAACAGAACACAAATAGAGCACTGAATGCTTCTATATCTGGGTATCGGGCTACTCATGAGTGTTGTCAAGTTATAATCAAGTAAAGTCTCTCCGAAGTTCGGAAGTGTAAATACAAGTAAAGTAACAGTGTATGATTGAAGATGCAGAACTAGGCTAAGTACATGAATGAGTGTCCTTATATTTTTGTCGTACGTAGCCTAGTTGAGTGCCCACAGGATGCTTCATCTTCCCTCTGTTCCGGTGCCATTGCACCCTCCGGTTCTCGGCAATCCTGCTGCTTATTGAGTAACTTGAATTTTATGTGGATAAACTCGCTTCCTTCTACTTATATCCCAACGTTGACATATTCTTATACATCCGCAGTATCGAAGTTGCGAATGAAGTCATAGTAGAATCTAACGGCGCTCAAGTGGTCAAGGATACTGACACGCTCATCGACAGTGTGAATATTGTCCAGTCCCCGGCTGATCGATGGGGTCCACCTAAATACACTGCGGGAAAGGCCTGGTAATACAATCAGTATGTGATATATGCGCTGAACCAGAGTGAGACTTACTGAGGTAATGCCGAGTGTCGGTATTACCGGTCATGACGTCTCCTACTGGCACGACAGTTTTATTGTCTCTCGCAAAAGCGTGTTGAATTGTCCCCGAAAAAACTTCCCAAATAGGACCACTAACGGGAGACACCGGTGCGGCTCCGGCTTTTGTGGCTCTGATGACAAGAGTGCCGTTGTAGTCAACTTCATCATGGCGCTTTAGATCGCTGTGATGTGGTATATCGCTAGGATAAAGCTCTGCGACATAATCCTGATATTCTTTGTCGCCTTTGAATGCATCCACCTGAAGACCATACTTCTCAACTACGTTTGCAATCACTTGAATAGCCTTGTGTTGAACCTGTACCGGCCTTTCATGGTGTGCAACACGGTAGTTGGCAGCCAGGGTAACGACCTCTGGCATGGCATTGATTTTTACCCCACCGTTGATTAGATCAATAGCCTGTGAGGTTTGAACAACGAACCGATTCAATGAGCTAGTGCTGGCGAATTCAGTGGCTAGTGCATCAAAATCATCATTCCGCAATAGCTCTTCGATCTTGGGCTGGGTGTTAGGAGAGTATCGCGCTTGACAAATCAGACGTTTGTGAATGGGACTGTTCTTGATAATTTTAGGCTGGTACGGATCGGCCTCGAGCGCAACAACAATCTCGGAAATGATGCCGATTCCCGTATGTGGTAGTGGAACAGAACTGTGGCCACCCTTGGTATGAAGCTCGAAGAAGAGATTGGAATGGCCCTTCTCGGTGATTGCAGGGTGGACATATATGGTATTGTCATCAAGAGGCTCTGAGCCAAAACCACCCTCGTCAAGGATGATAGCAAAACTATCGTCACCATATCTCTTCTTAAGTATCTTGCTGATCTGTCCAGCACCTTGGTTGAGACCAACTTCCTCATCAAATCCGAATGCTAGGATGAGGGTTCGTCTAGGTTTCCAATCAGACTCGGACAGGAGACCTTCTACGGCAGAGAGGATGGCTGAAAGACTGTTCTTATCATCGGATGCACCCCGGCCCCAGATAAATTCGCCATCGAAATGAGCTTCGAAAGGTGGATAAGTCCACGTGGATGCATCAGCAACGGGGACCACGTCCTGATGGGCGGTAAGGAGGGTTGGCTTCAGCGTTCGATCTGAGCCTTCAAATGTGTAAAGCAGCCCGAAGGTATTGATTTTCTCTAGCTTTGCACGCTTGTGACTTGGAGTGATCAGCTGCGAAGACGATTTTCACGGTGGGCTTTTAGCTTACACTGTGGGATACAACTTTTGGAGAACTGGAAAAAGCTTGTAAAACGGAAGCCATCGCTCATCCTCGCCGATTTCGCCTAAATCGTCGTAGGAGACTGACGGAACCTTCACAATGGCCTGATGACGTTTTACCTGCCGTTCCAACGCCTCATCTGACGAAAACAAGCTCACTGCCGAGGGTAACCCATCATTGGCAGGATCAAGAATAGGAGGTAGATCACATATGAAATCAGAACCCGGATTTCCAACTGTCATCGGAGTCTGACCAAGAAAGGGCAGCACGAAAGCCGAAGCACCAACAATGCCATTTGCCAGGACCATTAAGCGTAGAGACGCCATGTTTCTAAGTTAAGTTTCGGAAGTCAACCCACTTCCACAATATAAATTGATAGATAATGGGAAACGAAGAGAGAATAAAAAGGTTTTAACGAAAACCGCACTTTTAAAGGGGAGAGACCCTGGGAAATGATAATGGGCAACCAGTAAGACACTAAGACAATCGAATATTTACAATGTAGTTTACTAAGACTTGATGATGGAATACCACCAAGAGTTTACGACATGCATGCATTTCATGCTAAGTTTGGTTACGATTCCAAGACAATCCTATTCTCACTTGAAGTACTAAGTATATAGGTAGCAACTAATATCCCCCAGCCATGGCGTCATATTTCATCTCAACTATTCTTCGCTTTGACATCTTGGCGTTTCTTTCTCGTTCGAACAGAACACCTTGTTCTAACATATTTGAAGAAAAATGGGACCTTATCTTGTGGAGCAGGAAAGATATAGAATAGGAACCGGCTTAAAGTTAGGCAATCTGGCAACTCATGAATCCTATGCCGTTATAATTAAGGCCTGAGATAATCAGTGGAGAGTGAAGCTAGTATTTACCTTTGACAAGCTCTCTCGAGGCCGAACTCGGCTTCCCCTCATTGCACCTTCCACCCTATTCTTGTACCATACCCACCATCCACAACAAGAACGACAGCGATAGGTAAAGACCGATGGACGGAAATGTCCAGGGCAAGGGAAGCATCAAACTCTCAAAACTTAGATTAAAAGTTATCGAACCAATGTCGGGGTCTGTCATTTTTCGCCCTACATATCCATTTGCCGTTGTGAAATCCCGAACCCCATCTAGCATAGTCAAAATATTGCCTGCATTTGTCCCTAGCTTACAAAGTGCTCCTCAATCATTGCGGATGGTTTAAAAATGTCCTTTGTGGCACACCTTTCCTGTTCAAGTAACCCCGGGAAAAGGTGGATGGGCTTCACCTAGTAAGAAGACTTTGTTATATCCCGAGCGGAGGGTTTCCTATCTAGGACCCTCTTCCACGCAGTGCTGTTATCATCTGGGCCAAGCATTGCACGATTCCTATCTATCACCACAGAAGTCCCGGGAAATACCCGTTTGAGCACAACTTAAGTAGGAAACGATTGACCTCAGCAGCTGCATCCTTTCAGACAGTAAACCTCACACCAACATGTCACAAGGACAAGAACCACAGGAGCTTCCTGAGAGCGTTCAGCGCCTCGATGTCAAAAATCTCGCCTCAATTGATAAAAAGGAAGTTGACTCTTTCGACGAGTCGCAGTATGACTTCGATTCCGCTGAATTCAAGGACATACCTGAGCTGGTGCGGACGGTCGTTGGCTTTGAGGACGACCCATCACTTCCAGTCTTGACCTTCCGCTCGATTCTTCTATCAGCACTATTTTGCACAATTGGTAGTATTGTTTCTCAATTATCCTAGTGAGTTTCGCGGGCGGAAAATTGGCAGCAAACTCTCAGCTTACAACCTACTAGCTTTCGAACAACATACGCTCCGTTTCCAGTATTCTTTGTGATTTTAGCGTCTGACCCCCTCGGTCGATTCATGGCACGTGTCCTGCCTGCCTATAGGGTGCCATTGGGAAGATTTTCGTTCTCTTTAAATCCGGGCCCTTGGTCGACCAAGGAGCACGCAATTGTTGGCATTGCCGCCAATGCTGGAAGTCAGGGTCAATGGGCTAGTAAGAAATCTAGATCTCTCTTGACATGCCAGCATTGCTAATCTCAAAAGCCTTTTTGCCTACAAATGCTGCATTATACTACAATATCACTATGAACCCGGCAGTTGCTTTATTTTTTGGATGGGTAGGCTCGAACCTCAACAGACTGAAAGGACATACTAATTCAAGACCAGGGTTGTTCTTTGCTTGGATTTGCATTTGCTGCAATGGGTAGGTCCTTTTCATGGTATCTGGTACTGAATGGAAATTGACCTATCTAGTTCGCGGAGTCCTAATTGATGATCCTGAATTCATATTTCCTCTGTCCTTACAACAAGTGACCTTATACCGAAGCATGGATGCCAAGAATAGACCTGACCAGACAAGAGCGCGGGAGCAGGTTAAGGTACGTATTTCTCTCAGCCATGATCACATTTCCTTTGAACCGGCTAATTGAATATTGTCATTAGGTATTTTGGATACTACTCCTGGCTACATTTGTTTGGCAATTCCTGCCGGAATACATCTTTCCCTTTGTAGCATCTCTGGCTCCTCTTTGTTGGTTTGCTAGTCGCAATCATACTGTCAACTTTATCGGAGCTGGGCGCGGTGGCATGGGATTGCTAAACATAACTCTTGATTGGTCCAACATCACTTCGGTGGTTATCACATATCCCTACAGTGTACAAGTGATTATCTTCTTGACATTTGTTTTGACGGTAAGTTGAGACAATATCCTGTATCGAAAGGCTATCTTCTGATCTCTTCCAGTGTTGGATCTTGATTCCTATTGCGTATTTCGGGAACCTTTGGGGGTCACCGACTTATAACATTATGTCCAACGGGGTATTCATGAAGAATGGAACAGTATATCCGTTCAATGATCTGAGTGGGTATCTCACTATGAAATTATAGGATGTATACTGATGATCTTCAAGTCTACCTTGATTCTAACGGCATGCAACACTTTAACGAGACAAAATACGATGAAGTGGGCCTTGCCTACTCGGGGGCTCAGTATACGTGGCAGATGTTTATGGTAAACAACTTTCGCTTTACTACATTCCTTCTTTACTAAATTTCTCGCAGTGGGTGGCCTCGTATATGTCGTCTTTCGCTTGGTGCGGTCTGTTTCTAGGCCCGAAGATATACCGAATGTGGAAAGCCAGAAAGCAATCAGGAGCCTATTATCAGGATAGATTGAGGTATTTATGCATGGTTCCAATTTATCGGAATTCTGTAATTGACGACTTTTAGCCGTATCATCCACCGGTACCCCAGTATCACGAAGTGGTAAGATCCTCCCATTCTTTGTTACGGTTTTAACTAAAAGGAATGACAGGGAATGGGTTGCACTTACTCTGGTACCAACCCTAATGCTTCTTGGTGTCGTTGTTTCCAAGACAATCTACATGCCGATCTGGACGTACTTCGTGGCATTAGGTTTCGGTGCAGTATCAATGTTACCGATGAGCTTCGTATATGCCATATCGGGCTTCTCCATAAAGGTCGGCTACTTCAACGAGCTTATTTATGGATGTAAGTTGACGTGAGCCTAAGTCCTATAGCTACTTCCAACTGACTGGTTCACCTCTACAGATATGATTGATGTGAAGGGTTCATCACGTCATCCTTTGGGCCAACTTGCTTATCGAATTATCTCTGGAAATGTATGGTACGATGCTCGTATAGTTCTAGAAGATCAAAAGGTTTGATCGTTCACCATGCCATTCATTAGTGATAGAAGACTGATTATTATTGATTCCAGATTGGGCATTACCTTCACTTACCTCCACGACAAGTCATTGGAATCCAAGTTATTGCCAACATGCTTGCACTTCCCATAAACTATGGCGTGATGCGCTGGGTCATAGCCACCAAATTCGACTACGTCAGCGGCAAAAAGAAAGACCCCCTCGGTCAGTGGACCGGTCAAGATTTCCAGTCATACAACACAGCCGGCATCCAGTATGCTCTCGTTGGCCCTCGTAAGCTCTTCGCTTCGGACTTCTTCAGACCCATCCTCTGGGGTTTCCTTGCAGGTGCACTTGCTCCCTTTGTAATATGGCTACTGCACAAAAAGTTCCCTCGTGCTCGTTTCGATCTGTGGAATACGACTATATTCTTCGCATCGGCAGCAGTTTTCTATGGTAACCTCAGTACTGGGCCGTTCACAACCTTTCTCGTCGGCACTTTTACCAACTTCTTTCTCTATCGTTATAGGAGGGTTTTCTGGAATAAGTGGGCCTATATCAGTGGTGCAGCATTGGACACTGGGTTCAACGCGAATCTATTGTTTATCTTTATCTTTTTGGGGACAACCGGTGCCAAGATGGTGCATTGGTGGGGTAACAACGCTGATAGTGTTGAGAGATGCTTTGCCTTAAAGTGATAGGGTTACAGAATTAAGAGTACATCTGTCTAGTTAACAATGGTATTCTTTATCTAGGGCTTTATATAGAGACTTACTTATGGGCAAGTTTACTATCTCAAAGTGGGCATGAACGGTCTATAGACATGTCAGTGTATTCAGGGCTTGAAGATACATCTTATTGAGAGATTTGAAATTGAATATTCACACTGTAGGTATCACGTCAATCAAGAACATGGTGTTAAACCCTATAAGCAGGAAGTCTGTTCCTCTCACATTAGTCAATATGGAAGCTGACTAGCAGGCATTGTGGCTTCGTATGCTCTCATGAGTCTGATTTGCTAAACCATACCATCGTTTGCTAATATGAACCATGATGTAAAGTGAGACGAAACTGAAAGTAAAGAGAGACAAAAGCAAAATGTTGGTCAAGACAGTCTCAATTTATGATTATTGATGTCAAGAGGGCTACGCTGAAAAGAGCATGGTACGATGTGAGATATTGAGTAGAGAGCTAAGCTAAAGAAGCTAAGTTACAGAGACAGAAATCTGACAAGCCCTCACTTCACTTGTACCTTGGTTATCCTTCACCCTAGGATACCATTTAGGCAAGACCAGGTCGGGCTATCTTCATAGAATAGGAAGCTACAGACGTAGTTACAACGTAAATAGTACAGATTCGGCAGGCACGAACCTGCTAGGTAGAGGGTATATCGGGTTTCCCCTGGCCCCAGATGTTTTTCGTCTCCAAAACATTCTCAATATGGAGTACACCAACACCACCATGAGTACTACCATTTTCCGCACCCTCGTTGTGCACCCCTCTGCGACCCACCCACCCGCTCCCTCCGCCACTCCCTCCATGCCCTCCAAGTCCTCCACGGCCATCGAGGACCTGAATAAGCTGCCAGGAGGCCTTTGGGCCTTGATTATTCTCGTGGCAGCCGTCCTCGTGGGCGGCATAGTTTGGTTCGCTTACACCAAAGCGACCAAGAAGAAGGAGGAGGAGGAGGGCGAGGAGCCCAAGAAGACCGAGGGGATCCCGTAAGTTATAGACCATAATCCCCGTAGAAACTCTTTTGGGGGTATTCTGGAGGGTCTTTATGCACATTTGGCTGACATCTCGTGGCACAGCCTCGATACCTTGGCCGCGGCTGCTCTGACCCCCCAGACAGCCCTAAGCAGCAGGTGGCTGCGGGGAGATGGTAAGTTACAACTCAAGAGCCTCATCATTGTCCCTATGCCCTAGTAGTAAATGCTGACAATAGTGGATCATGTTCAAGACCGCCCTCTCCCCGTCATAATAGAGGCCACTGGCCCCAATGTGACCCCGCCCGACCCGGCTAGCCTGACTGGTGACAAGGTGAAGTTCATCCCGGTTCCCCCGGGATACAGGCTTCTCCCTCCTCCCCCTGCTCCCACCGCCCCGCCCGCGTCTGTGGTCGTGTCTGCGGCGTCTCCTCTCCCCCGCCCCAAGAAGCGAGACCCTCCTGCGCTCTCCGCCACCACCACAACTGTGCGCAATGTCAGCCATGGTTTCAAGAAGGTCCTCGACGAGGGGAGTACGGCGGCGGTTGCCCCGGTTGCATGAAGGGAAAGGGATGTTGAGTTGACGGCGTTCCTCGGTTGTTTTGTCCGTTTTCTTCACTCCGAGAACCTTAGCGAGGTGAGCTTGAATGAAAACGGAAGTACCACACATATAGGGGACGAGGAGGAGATGGTTTTTTTGGCGTTCCTCGGTTGTTTTGGCCGTTTTCTTCGCTCCGAGAACCTTAGCGAGGTGAGCTGAATGAAAACGGCATATGAAGGGGACGAAGAGTGGATTTTTTTGGGGCGTTCCTCTGGGGCTTTTTGACCGTTTTTGCTTCTCTCCGAGAACCTCAGCGAGGTGAGATGAAGGAAGAAAACTGGGTGAAGGTGTGAGGTGGAGGTGAGAGAGAGGTTGTTTTGTTTTTGTTTTTGTTCTTGTTCTTGTTCTTGTTCTTGTTCTTGTTCTTGTTCTTGTTCTTGTTCTTGTTCTTGTTCTTGTTCTTGTTCTTGTTCTTGTTCTTGTTCTTGTTCTTGTTCTTGTTCTTGTTCTTGTTCTTGTCTGTCTTTACTTTTGCTTTTGGATATCTTTACTTTTGCTTCGTCTTACTTTGCTTTTGTTTCTGTCTCTCTTTACTTTTGGTCGACTGGCCCTCTTCGGGGGTGACTATGTCTGAATGTATACTGTCGGCGCCTTGGGGCACCTTGATTCTCCTGGACATACTCTTCACTGTAGACTCTTTGCCCACTGTAGTTGGATCCTGTAGTAAATCCTCATTGATCTACTATCATGGTGGGTTTGAAAAAGAATGTTTGAAGAAGTATTAAGCATTGGACATTTAGACCGATATAAAATCTTCTGTCTCACAGGATAAGCAAATTGTTTAAGAAAGAGGTTATTGGAATCTCAAAGTAAGCCCTCAAAAATAACCTGCACACCACCAATATTCTGCATTTTTGTCATAATTTGATCACTCTAGAGACCCTCGTTCTACTTCACCATTAAGGTCGAGCTAAATGCCTCAAAGCTCTCTTCCAAAGGCTCCTGTGTAGATTTGAAGGAGCATCATGAGTCGTCTTTGAAACATTGGCCATATCATGGGATTGAAGGCTTTGGCCAAGTTGATCATTGATCTTATCCTCCTCTGCCGAGAGCTCGAAGAACTGGTCACAAGAGCACGGATATTCAGCTCTCTCTATCTGCTTGGTCCCCAAAGAGCGTTGAGAATTGTATCCCTCGTGTCGCATCTGCCGGTTTGGATCCCGCCTTAAAGAAGCATAGATCTGGTCGAACTCACTAACAGTAAGCCTCAACATAGCGGTATAGAGTTCGGTGTTTCCAACGATACGTTCCTTGTAAATATCTGCCAACTCTGTAGCCATCTGGGCCGCCTCTGTAAATAACCGACCCATCTCTTGAAACAACTCCTCAAGTAGAAGGTAATCAGTGTCGGTGGGCTTTTTCTCTGGTAAGTTAAGGAGCTCCGGCCCCAGATTGTCTAGTCCTTGGAGTAATATCCGGCGAGTACGCTCGTTCTCAATAACAGACGTGAGTATATCTTGGCTTGGCTGGCATGAGTCGTATTGTGAAGGGCAGTCGTCGCAGTCGGGGCCTGTCTTCGATTCTTGGCTTTCAAACAATAGTTCGGACATTTTCAGAGATGATTAAAATAGTATTGTATAGTGAAAGTTTTGTATCAGGGAGGAGATGGAGATTTCTTGAGGAGAAAAAAAATCAGGGATTGGGAGGTTTAACTAGCAGAATAACATGTATCTGCTTCCAGCCGCCGCCTAATACGGCATCCAAAGCCATGGTAGCTAGCCTACGCCAACTAATTCGAGCTCCGTTGTTCAAAAAGTGATTGGTCTCTGTATATCCCCACTGCAAAGATATCTTGTCCGATCTGGTCTAAAATTTGGATTCGTTGGAAACTCTACTGTGGGTCAGGCGACAAATATCAACTTGTATGGCGTTGAAGAGTACGGACGGGCTCTGGTTTTTGTAGCTTTCTTTAATGTGCATGCGACCCCCTAGGGGGATATTATTCTTGTGTTACCTCACTAAGATCGTTGCCTCTATCACGATCGACTACCCAGGTGGCTAGAAGCCAGGCGCAACTATTTGACCGAGGGATTTTCACGTAAACAATTTCGGTATAAATAATATTCCAGGGCCATCTTCTGGACACAAGATAATCTTTCAGGTAGCTCCCGGTCATCCTTTTTGAGGGCTTTCCACCAAGGCGTATCAACAAATCTTTGACGTGGGATTAGCATAACTAGTTGATATCACTGGTGCCTTGTAAATCAGGCCTCATAGGACCAATGCCTAGACGACTCCTCACTTTGTGCCCTTATTGTCTGACAGTCAGCCCTGCTGCACGACACAGTATTTGATGCCCCGAAACATCCTTTGTGGTACCTGGAGCCTTACGAGGTCGACTTTGCCGCCCCGACTACGGTCCCAGAAACCCTATACCCTACGTCTGGCATCGAGCTTCGCAGCAATCAACCCAAGAATAAACCCCCAGCAAGGCGCAAGACTACTTAATCTCTCTGAACGAAGTCACAGACAGAGCTACATCTACTCAAAGCACAAAATGTCCAACTCCACTCCAGAGCGCTACAAGCTCATCTTCTTCGTCCCGACCGCCAACGTGGAGCCCTGTAAAGAAGCCATCTTCGCCACAGGCGCAGGGTCATTCCCAGGTGGTAAATATACCAAATGTTGTTTCCAGACTGTTGGCACGGGCCAATTTCTGCCCAACGAGGGCGCAGACCCGGTGGTCGGAGCTGTCGGAGCTTTGGAACGGTGCGAGGAGGTCAGGGTTGAGATTATGTGCCTTGGCCGGGGTATTATGCTGAATGCAGTCGATGCTTTGATCTCCGCGCATCCGTATGAAGAGGTTGCTTATGAGGTTTATAAGATGGAGAACGTTTAGTTGGTCGACTGAACATGTGGTTGACAGGATGCGGCACAATAAGGTTATGCGATTGGGACGGTAGTCATCTTTTTCTGCATTTGTCAGTTTTCCAATCTACATTTTGACGAATTTCCAGTCTCGATAAAAACAAATTGAAAGGATGATTGTCTCCAAAAATGAGTACTGTGTTGATTTCATTGAAGGGCAACTGTATGGCAGCGGATTGGTAAGGCGGTAGTAATCCCTGGACGCTGATTTGCCCAGGGCCCGCCCCAAGTAAAACGCCTCGTCAACTTGACTTCTCCTCCAACCTCCAACCTCATCTCTCCCGAATTGACCCTCACTCATTGCCCGCGATGGCCTCTAAACTCTTCTCAGTCCCGCGGGTCGGCCGCCAATTGGTTCACCAGCTCCCCAAACCCCAATACAGAGCCTTCTCCGCCAGTTCGCAACGGTTCAGTGACTCCCTTTCGGTGGTGAGTATTCCTTTCGACCCCTCCTGTGCTTTAGGCGCCAATTACGACTCAGGATTGGAGAATCAAAGACTCATATACTGACTGTGATTGTCTACAATAGCACCGCAACAAGCCCAACAACAACCCGACCCTCCCGTTCAAGTTTTCCGAGCAGAACCTCACACTCGCCGATGAGATCCTCAAGCGCTACCCTCCCCAGTACAAGAAGGCTGCCGTCATGCCTCTGCTTGATCTCGGTCAGCGCCAGCATGGCTTCACCAGCATCAGCGTCATGAACGAGGTCGCTCGCATGCTCGAGATGCCCCCAATGCGCGTTTACGAGGTCGCGACCTTCTACACCATGTACAACCGCGAGCCGGTTGGCAAGTACTTCGTGCAGATCTGCACCACGGTAAGCACCTGAAGTCAAACCTATCTCCCACTCTTCCTAATTCGGAATCATCCAGACCCCATGCCAGCTCGGCGGCTGCGGTAGTACCGCCATTGTCAAGGCCATTACCGAACACCTCGGAATCACCCCCGGCCACACCACCGAGGATGGCCTCTTCACATACATCGAAGTCGAATGCCTGGGCGCTTGTGTCAACGCCCCCATGGTCCAGATTAACGATGACTACTACGAGGACCTGACCCCGGAGTCCATCAAGACCATCCTGACTGCCCTCAAGGACTCTGCCACCGCTACCGGTGCCGGCGCCGGCACCAAGATTCCCGCCCCCGGCCCGCTGAGCGGGCGCGATACCTGTGAGAACAGCGCCGGCCTGACCAACCTGACTGAGGTAGTGTGGAACCCGGAGACTATGATGCGCCAGGACAATGCATTGGACGCCGCGCCCAAGCAATAGAAGAGCAAAGAGAAAGAAAGATTATTAAAAAAACAGCTCTTCATTGCCGTGGGTCAATTCCGGATGGGGAGGATATTATAATGGTTGTGTTTTTTTTTTCGAATGGACGAGCAAAAGCCGCCTTGGGGCACTGCGGTCAAGCCGGGGAATGATTAGAGGTCACCGCGCCTCTCGCCCTAAGGCGCCTTGAATGATAACCACTCTTGAGGCGTCCTATTTTTTTTGTCTGTCTACAACATACCATGTACAGTACGTTTGTTCCTAGCTCTTACTTGGTGTGATCGGAGCCCGGATGCAGATCTGGCCCAGTCGCTGTGGGATATCGGCAGGACCAATCGCAGAATTTTTTTCCATTTCCTTTTCTTATACTGGGTGTTGAGCTTGTAGATACCTGAGTACACTGTGCAGGATAGTAGTTCTTTCTGCTGGTTGTATGGAGAAAACCTATTGCATTGCATGGTATCATATTGAGGTATCCACTTCGACATTCTTTGTTGGCTGTCTGAGTTAGGGCCATCTGCTTAGGCTCTGCGCTATTCGTGTTCACTTAGCCCCCTAGCTAGTCCATGCAAATGCTTCACAGCAGGTGCTCCATTCAGTACATAGGTTCCAGTGCGCCACTGCAACCTATGTACTGCAGTAGTGTGGGGTCGCCAGTTTGGAGATCTCGTGTTTTTCCGGGTAAATTATATATTCAACCAGGTATTCACCACCTGGACATAGTACGGTGGGATACAATTTCATTTCTGGTACTATACCATAGTATCACTTTGCAGAAGATCCCTTTATTTTGTTACATGCAGTACAGTGAGAACAGTACTATTCAACAGAATACCTCGCGTAGATATATATAGGGATCTTAGAAGACTGACAAGTAGATGAACCAAGTTAAAGCAATCCGATTATCGTCGCAGCGGTATGTGTATGTTAGGCCCTAAGGTTCTCTAGGGACCACATACGGATCTCAACCTCCCCCACTGAGTCAAAACTGGTCCCAAGTTTCAACATAGCCGAGTACAAGCCAAAGTTCTGCCTTTATCTATTCTTTCCTCTGCATATAAGCGTTGTTTCAAAGTTTCCAATAGAGGGAATAGGTAAGTACCAATATATGCTACCTCACCCTACTACTCCATTGCGTATAAGCACGATCTCCAACACGAGAAAAAAGAAAAAAGCAGCGCCAAGAGTCCTTATATACCATGCCAAGGTCTGGTTCACTCCTTTCGGCAATCATGAAACACCTAGTGTATATGTTACGATATAAAAAGTGTGTGCGCGGTACTTATAGAAAGAAAGATTGAGCTGAAACGTGATCACTAAATCCTTTAAACTGTGACGAAATGAATGAAAGCTAGCCACTAAGGATAATCAAATGCAATCTCGACTCTACTCCTGAGTTGGTCTTGACCCCGGTAATAAGCGCTCTATGACACAACGGTCGTCCTCAAAGGCATCCGCTTAGTTGGTGACATCGCAGTTGAGGAAAGCAGCTTAGCAACAACGTTAGTGATATGCTATTTACGAGTAAACAATGGGGAAACTTACACTTGGAAAAGAACGCATAGCTCTCAGCATTCTCAAGAGCGGCAGAAGAACTCAAACCATGCACTTGATCATACCCATACGTCTCAGGACCAAAGATGCCCTTGGTATGGGCCATCTCGTGCAGGGTAGAAGTAGCCTGGTCCAGAACACTGCAGATGTTCGACGAGGCAGGGAACTTGGTGAAGTACGCAGGGCAAGTCCGGATTCTTCCGTAGGTCCCATCGGTCTCACCGTAGGCAGTCATGGTGAAAGAGTGGTTATCAATGCAGTTGATGCCAGCCGGAGTGCAGTAGTAGCTCACGACACCCTGGTTCCCGTCCGTGGCCTCCGTGGCAATCTTGTCCAAGACACCCACAACACGGTTGCGAGACTGGGCGTCGTTGGTCTTGAAGAAGCTCTGGAAGAGGTTCTTGGAGTAGTCCGATTCGCTGCGGATGAGGTTGGCACCGGCTTTGGCCATCTTTGCGGCGCGAGCGAGTGCGTTGTCGATCATTTGCGCTCTCTCATCAGAGCAGTTCTCAAGGGTAGCGCGTGTCTCAAGAGGGCTGGCGACAGCACCTGCGATAAGAGGGACAGCGACAAGGGTTTGGAAGAAGCGCATTTTGATGACTAGAATGAAAGAGATTTGGTAATGGAAACAAAAGTATAACTATGGCAAACGATTGACCAAGAAGTAATGATTGACGGCCACCAGGGCTTACTTATAACGAGTGTATAGAAGTAGAAAGGAAGATGTTTATTAAGGAGAAGGCTATCAACAGGGTCACCCATCTTTTATAGAGTATAGAAACTTAAACCGGCCACAGACATATATCTCTAGCCGTTTCATTATGTTTCGTTAATCTGTCTGTATATTTTCGCCCCATGTTTCACGTCAGAGTGCTGATCATGGCAATAGATGTCGGAAGAAGGCTCTAACCCCATGATTTAGTCGTGCCTACTACCAAGGACTTGTGTTGTATATAGAACACTTCTTGGGCACTTCTGGCACGAACAGTGTGGCTCATACAAGAAATCAAAGCAGATAGCTATAGTCTTGTGGTGTAGTTTCGCTTTTGTATTCTGTAGTCATCCTACATCAGCCGCGTTGCATCCTTTTCGCTGAAACCCACAAAATAACAGCCAAGACTCCCCTGTCTCAAGAACCCTACTCCACCACCCCACGGATGAGGATCTCACGCTATGGCAGCCAGCCCTAGATTAGAATGAACCGTTCCTAGTCTCCTATACTAAGCGGTGACAATATTCGTTTACAACTGTGAGATAAGGAACTACATAGTTGATCTGCACAGGACGTGAGATGCCTGCCGGTATTAGAAAAACTTTCAACCTCTGAGATCTCTTATACAAGTTATTCAGAGACAGCATTTTTCTACAACATAGATTGGCACTTCATCTGAACCACTAAATTGACCAAAATAGAATTGGTTCGGGTGTGCTGGTCTGAAACACTTAATCTAAGATTTAGTGTCTTTAGCCTGTTCGTCCCGTGGAGATCAAAATTTGAGACCCTTTCTACTTCGAACTTGCTTTCCCGTGGAAAACCCTACATCAAATGAGCTATCAATCCTGAATCTTATTGCCTGCCTAGGTTGGGGTCTTATGACCTATAAATTATTTAACTCTTCCGTAAGCTTTTCTAAGATATTTCTAGATATTACAGAACCCAAAATTGATGGTTAGATATTTCCGTCAACTATATGTATGGAGAACATGAATACGAGACTCGAGTAGGTAAATAATGGCATAAGCAGAATATATAGTAATGCTAATAAACGTGGCCATCAAAACAGTGATAAGAAAAGGGCTAATAACAGGTGCAGAGGTCTAAAAAAAGCATAAAAAACAGGGAAACCAGCCTTCGAGGTAAAAGCATACCGGGGGCGGATCATGGGGATTGGAAAAAAGAGGAGTAACTATAGACTATCTTTGCTGGGATAAGAAGTTGTAATTCATCGCATTTCGCATTTATTATGTGTTTTGCAGTGGACCACTCGGCAGAAGAGAAAACACGGGAAGATTACCCGGGTGTCATCGGTGTACTAAGTATAAGATGCATTGTAGGTATCACATACAACATACATTAATCTATCACATACATGAATCTATTCTTCCGTGTCCATCATGTCGACCGGCGAGTGTAAATTCAATTCAACGCAAAAAAAAAAGTAACTGTCAGGTGATTGTCATGTGATCGAGCATAAAGCCGAACTGCACAAATGACACCTGCGCGCGGCCCTACTCTGGTAATTCCTCCCCTTCATATGTCACGTCGTCTGGTGATACTTGTCCTTCTGGAACCAACACTGGAACACCTTGACGCTCAACGAGTTTGCTTGACTGAGCTTTTTGGAAGATGTTGACTTCGTAAGTGTTTTTCACCAGCAAATGATAGGTATGGACTTCGCGCTTTTGCCCAAATCGCCGAGCACGTCCAATTGCCTGGGTCATGCCCGCATCGTAGTCATGGTCAGAAGAGGCGAAATAGGGTGACAGGAAGATGACATGGTTTGCGCATTGGAGGTTCCTGTATATCAGATCAGATTAGTAATGTTTCAAACAAAGAAGAATAGATAACAGTAGAGAGAGATAACTTACAGTCCAGCTGCCATGGAATTTCCAAGATTTAAGATCAAGGCCTTGGGTCTGGAAGGTGATTCGGTCTCACCCTTCTTTGGTTTAGGCGGGTCAGTGAACTCGCCGATTCCCTTCAAGTTGGTCTGTGTGACCATGCGGTGTTCGATGTTTGCTGCTTTAAGGGCATTCGATGCAACGGGCAACAGATGGCTGATTTGCACGAAGATTATAACAAGTTCGTCCTCTGGGACACTGCGGATGATCTCAACAAGCTCGTTGAGCTTGGTACTCTGGGTTGCTTGGTCTTCGCTGACGAGGATTTCACCGGGCACGATCTTGGATTGGGCAATGTGGGCGCTGCATCCAAGGATGGGGCAGGGTTTGCGTGGTCTGTTGCTCGCGGTGTGAAGACAACCTTTGCAGAGGGCGTGACCGCATGTTTTGAGAATGTTGACATCTTCCTTTTCTTGCAAATCCCTCTTGCAATTTTGACATGGTGGGATTCCAATGGTTTGGATCCTCACCAGATGTTCGTAGAATCGGTATTCCCGGTCAATATCAAGGATTTGCTTTAAGAGAGATGTGGCATCAGCTGACAATGCTTTTTCGACAGCAGTCCAAACCGATCTTCCAGTGGCTGTGTTGCCAGTCTTCGCGTTCTGGATCTTTTGGAATCGCGCCTGGAGCAAACCTTCGGTTGGGCGGTGTTCTTGGACGAGTTTCCACTCGCTGTATGTGTGGATGATTCCCTTCAAGAGATCGTTGAATCTTTGGTTGAGTTCGGGGTCCCCGAAATTAACCTTGGCGACGCCATTCAGGGCGTTCTGCCAGTCTTCAAGATTGATATTGTTCATTTCGCGATACCAAACAGTCGCTGCCTGTCGAGTGATCGAGTCCACTTTAGCCCACATCTCGGTAGATTTCTTTTTGTCGTTCACCGAGCCTTTGCGGCATTTCTCGAGATTCCATGGAGGCTGTCCAATTTGACATGTGACGCAGGACATGATGAGAGTCTCCTGGGGAAACTGGCTTTTGGATAAAATCGCGCTCAGGGGGCCAGGGATTCGTCTCTTGTTTTCTTTGACGGCTCGGAATAACGTATCGTACGCTGTCTTTTCCACGGCCGACTGCTCGGTAATGGCAAGGTGCGGTATCAATGGAATGTGTGTGATGCGTGCGATGTTCTGACGCGCAAACCGGTCTAGGAATCTTTGAGCATGTTCTCGGCGGTTTCGGTACCAGGCGTTGCTGTGGGGTGCCTGGTAATATTGGAATGCCTCAACTGCTGTGTGGTTCTTCCGGATGTTTCGTAGTCTGAGGTTCTGCGACGGCTTGTCGCAATCGCCATCGTCATCCACACCAAGATGTAAACCAAGGTAACGCGCAATACTCTTTATGTCGGCAAATTCATCAAGACCTGGCGTTCCAGAAAGGATCCATTTGGAGCGTGCCTGCAATGAGAGCAGGGATGCCTGTCTTTCTTCTCCGGCATATGTGTATTCGTCGATAACCAACCGGTTGAAGTTGAAAGCGTGAATGAATACGGCTGTGATATCGCGCCATTGTTGCTTGGAGTTCTTTTTGATATTAAACTCCTTGCGGTCATCCTTCACGGCTTTTGATTTGACTTCGCTTTTATTTTTGTCGTCGGTCACTTCTGCCGGGTCCGTCGATTGGCGTTTTTGTCGCTTTCCGTCTGAACCTTCCACTGACTTCCTACTGTGCCCCCGCTTCCGCTGGCCCACAGAACTCGCTGTTCCGGTCGAGTGTCTCACACCAGATGCACCAAATTCATTAAACCCGGGGTCATTCTCAGAGTCCAAATCCTCTTCTGCTTCTGCATCAGACTCGTCAGGACCATCATTAGCATCAGCGAATGCCTGGCCACGGAGGCGTCGAGAGGGTATGTATGTGAAGTCGGCCTGTGTCTCTTGGACTCGGCGACGTCTGGCCTCCAATTTCTGGAGCATCGCCTCAGGCCCTTCTGTTTTCAATATGTTAACGGACTCCCGCAAGGAAGCACGAGCGTCGTGGAACCAGCTATCGAAATTTCGACCTGTTCCTCCGCTCGATTTTGCGGGAGCCCGGGGTGTTCCGGTAAATTGTTGAAGTCGGCTGTAGTATGCATCGTTGGCCAGGGTACCCCATGACAAAATCACGATATCTGCATCTTCGACTTCCCGGATGGTGATCTTGTTGATTGACGTTATCACCAAAACTTTGTATTTTCCTTCGAGGAACTTCTTGGTCTCCGAGACCCACTGCTTGAAAACGTTGCAGGGTACGATGATCAGGGTTGCTTTTGTTGGGATTAACCCGTCGGCCTCAGGGGGTTTGGTGTCGCTTCCATACTGCACGTCGATGAGACCAAGAATGACAGCTGTCTTGCCATATCCAACCTCGTCAGCTAGCACGCCACCGCGAACAACATTTGGCATTGTCGCTTTGACTTCGGCGCGCCAGGGCATCAAGGGGAGGGTGGATTCTTCAACTTCCTCCTCCATGAATGGTTCCATGTTTTCTGCTTCTTGTGAAATCATCCAGCTCAATGATCGAAGCTGTTCATCACGCAATCGGAATTTGAAGCTAGGAGGTTGTGGCGAAGGACTGTCGTTGTCATTATTCTTCAAAGTAAACCTGTCAGGGGTGGCTTGGCTCATATCAGGAGTTTTTTGAGCCATGTCGTACGCATGAGGAAGAAGTCGCCAGCGAGATGTGACTGTCTCGCGGCTTGCGGTGCCAACCAATTTTCCCTGTGCCTGGTGCGTCAGAGCTTGAACATTGAGGGTGAAACGCAATTCGGCGTCTCCATGTTCACTGATTCGTCTGAAGACCAAAAATGGCGAGGGTCGGTTTTTGATGGCACGTTCGTAGACAGCAGCGTCCTGGGGATTCTCGTAGGGGATGATTCGGTCTTTGTTGTCGCGGCCCCAAAGGATATTTGGGGTGGGTGGGTTGCAGGTGTTGCAATTGCCATTTGAATGATGATTGAGGTCTAAATAGTCTAGACGGATGATTTCGTTCCAGTCTTCAAAGTCGGACCAGGCGGCAATCTTTGGGAACAACCAGGCGAGACCTTTCAATTCCCTCATAGAGACATCGGGATTCCAGGCTTGCCAATCGGAATTTGCGTCGGGCAGGTTGAGAATCGCTGCTGTTGCTGACAGCGAGGTGAGGGTAATACAAGCATTAAGACAGTGATGGTTTTCAATCGAGACTTGGATTCCTTGTTGCAATGTGCGAAGGGTGATCTGCTCGGCAGGACAATGGTTCAACTGCGCTTCGGGGGCCTTGGCCCATCGACGACAGAACGCTGTCACATCTTTCGAATCCGGGGTGACATCCAATGATCTCCAAGTTGGTGATAACTCGGCGATCGTCATTCTCATCTCATATCCAGAAAGGCGGCTGTGGTCAAGAGCGAACACACAGGCATCTTCATCAGGGGGTCCAGTCTTCATTGGGTCAAGAAATAAGAACATTGAAGGCGCATGGGTGGTGGCTTCTTTTCTGTACAATGCACCAAGCGCTGTTCCACAGTCAGGGAGGAATTGGTAGGTTCCTCGGACGTCGTGATCAAGAACTGCGACATCTTGACTGGATCCTTCAACGAGAATACTGTCCCAAACTTTTGCATCAACAAATTTGGCGGCTTTGAGACCGCACTCCGATTGGAATGATCGGAGTTGGCTTCCTCGGCCCGAAATCTGCAGTGAGAATGGGGTACTAACAGGTGAACAAACTTCCCATGTACCCTCGACAAACGACCCAGAGGTGGGACTCATTCTGGCGATTGGCTTGGCTAGCACTTCTCGGATGACGCTTCTCGTGCTCGCGGACTTGGGGGGCTTTGCGTACAAAAGCCATTGGATGGAGTCCGGGCCGATATCAAGGAACAAGCTGGAGTACGTGCCATCATAAACGACTCGCCATTTTCTTCCGCGCTTGATCTCATAAAACCGGAAAACGTCGTGCATAGCTGCCTTCACGCGCAGAATAAAGTCGGGCCAAAACCGGGGGAGGTTGTCGATAGGGTAAAGGGTTCTAAACGTCTCGAAGTCCAAGACGGACAAACCAGACAGCATAAGCTTCATGGGAATAAGTCCCTTCAAATTCGCTATAAACTCAGACGGCTTTTGTCGAGAAAGTAGGGAAACATGTAGATACGAATGCGTGGGATTTCCACGGCAGGATTTGCAAGCGGTATGTCCGCACAGTGTGCAACTGTAAATTGAATCTTGAACCCCAGTCTGTCTCTCGCAGGAGCAACACAGAACGCTGCTCGCTGCCTTGGCTTTGAGAACAGAATGGTCGATGAGGGGAGCTGCGGCAATTTGGAGGTTGCTTCTCACGAGGCTGTGGACCTCGCTGAGAACGAGAAGGGACTTGGCCTCCGCGTCGCCGGGGTTGGTTGAACCCTCCTCATCATCGTCAAGAATCTCATGCACGGCTATCAGACCAGCCAGCATGATTGCACACACGACCGTACTCGTCATTGCATTTCCTGCCATGTCCATCAAATCGGCTTGGGTTTCTCTCGTGAGTAGCATTCGATCGAGAGGCAGACCTTGCAACGAAAGGGCTTCCGTGCCAGATACGGGCCCCCCGCGGGTGGTCACAAATGGGATGCCCTTTGGCGTCAGGCACCCCGCGATCCCGGACCCGGCAAGACTGTCATTCCCTCGATCGACTCCCTGAGACAAGTCGATCCAACGCCTGTGAAAGTGAATTGTTAGTAAAATATTCCTGAAGTGAATGTGAAGTGAAAGTGAGAGAAGATTGAAAAAACTTACTCCTTGAAGTTCATGTCATAATCTTGAAGCATCTTCTTCAAGAAATTCATATCCACGGTCTCCCACACTCTCTCCGGCTGTGTCTTCCAGAAACGATGCCAATAGAAGTCCGGTGCCTTCAGGTCATTGATTCCGGGCAGGGATCGAGTGATTGGCCTCTCGATGCCTAGTTCCAGTTCGCCACGGTGCCGCTCGTGGCGAATCTGGTACTGGTCCCAGCTCGTTTCGCTTCTGGACTCAAGGCGGGCTCTCATCTCGATGAGCTCGAGTCGGCGGTCGTCGTCACTCAGCAAGAACAACCCCACCGGCGCACTCGCTGGCCGTTTGAACTGACCAGCGAGCTCACGAACGCGTTGAGTGACACTGTCAATGCCACTCTGGTCCATGGGGCTTCCAAGCAGGCCCGCTGCTTCCAAGCGGCGCTTGTCAATGACCACCATGTACCCGCGCTCGCGTGTCTGCGGGATGTAGTAATGTTTTGTGTCGACATTGACACAAACCGACATGTATCCAAGCTCTTCCCACTTTCCCTTCATCTGATCCCAGGGAGCATTCCGGACATTCTCCTGGACGATCATGCGGGGTCGATATCTCTCCGCGTACCGCAAGAGACCGTCGAACGTCGCTCCCGACTCGCCGCCTTGCTGCAGCGTCTTCTTGCGGTTGTTCAACGGAGAGAAATCGACACAGGCAGTTCCAGCAACTAAGATGTCAAGGTCACCGGGAATCACTTCCGATGACCCGTAGGCGGTCCGCCTGCAAAATCAAAGTCAGTATGAGAGTCAGAGGGAAATGAATGAGTACTTACGCCACGTCCCCTCCAAGTTCGGTGATGTCCCGAAAGAGGATAGGGGGGCGGAAGTTCCGTTCAATGTATGATTGCTTGAACGGAACAATCTCGCAGCTGAAAGCGTGCGAGATCCGTAGTTGCTGGGCCTCTGGCAAACCTGTCAAGGTATATTAGCAATTGTTCCATGATCATATTCCAGGAGGAAGCAAGCAAAAAGTGAGAGATATCAGACAGAAAGGTGAGAATGAGATGAATGCAAAGCAAATGATGTATCAATACCAAGCTGAAGCCATCATGACATGGAAGTCAGGGCAAAGTCAATGTAAAGTTAGGGCAAGGGAGGAAACATGTGACTTGGATGCGGGACAAGGTGAGGAACATCGACCATGGAACCACCCACAAGCAACATGAACCTCAACATAAACATCGAAGCAGCAAATAAACAACTGGAGAAAAGGAGTTTTTTTAAAAAAAAGAGCAAGACACTGCACTTACCCGTCTGGATCAATTCCAGGGCTAGAAGCGGGGCTTCCGTTCCTGAACACATTGTCGCCACCCGAAGTGGTCGACTGCCGAGCCGACTGAGGACATGCTCGAATCCCATTTTCAGGGCGTTCGATGCCATGTCAGCGAAAATTTCTGTCAGCGTATGCAGAGGCGGAAGGTCACTGGCTAGATACCGACCCCGAGGGATCGTGTATCCCCGCCGCAGCTCAGGAATCTCATCGGCCCGGCCCCTAGGCTCCTGATCACCCGTTACCAAACCCACCGCCGACTGCTGCTGAGGAACCCCCTTTGACGCCATGACCTGCGTTGGTGGAGGGAGTGAGAAGTTGAGGTAGTCGAATTTAGATGATACTGGCAAGCCAGTCAAGAAGAAACACGCCGAAAAAACCTCGGAAACCGAGGTATAAACAGTGTGATGACCTTGGTCACCGGCTCAGGGCACGAAGCAAAGCTTCAAACATGCAAATCAATGATGGGCCGGTGATTGTTTGGAAAGGTGAAAGGAAAGAAGAAGAAGAAGAGAAGAAATAGGAGACACTCATATATGCGTGACGCCCAGGCAACGATCTTGTTCTCATCAGAACAGGTAGGCACCTCATGCGACAGTGATCTATTCTCACGCGCGAAACCCGGGTAGCTCTCGCCCCATTTGGCGTGACAGCATGTGACGATGACCTGCGCTGAGACGTACACATACCTGCGCTGACATATACTGCTGCGCGACGACAGCCAGGTTTGGATACTCCGGCGATGCTTGACTACCCATGTATTGGTGGTATTCCTGTGATGACAGACTGCCCACGCCGACGAGTACACCGATTCCAGGACTCCGATATCAATACTAGCGTGATCTCTTTGCAATGGACCCCAGGCCCAATCAAACACTGGAGCCAAAGTAGTCCAATATCCCTTCTAGCAACAACATGCTTCTCGTGGCAACATAACTAGAACGGCGGTAAACGGACTATTAACGGACATTATGGGTTCTTTTAAGCAGATCCCAGTAAATCTTTCAGTGGAAGATATAACCAATATGGATTGATAGACAATAGCTTCAAGTAACAAATGAACTTACGCGCCTCTATTAAAATAATATATTGATGTTTGCGTCTTCTCTGCAGCCTTATATATTGCACTCAAGACTATGAATTATGACGGTCTTTGACGTGATTGGTGCCGGCTAATTAATGGGTTGGCAGTTACTCACCGAACATGGAAAATCATATGTAGGATATGCGGAAACATCATTGTAAGAAGTTTGCCAGCCATGGCAAGAGAGTACCTAGAGTACCAAATCTGAATCTTGCCAATGCAGCTAGCTTTGTGAAGGTCACAAAGTGAAACAACCTTAGGTTTCTCCGGAACTGACAAACGCGCCTAAGACGTCCACGGGTTGAAGCATGTTGCCTTTTAGATAAAGTCCCCGAAGGGGCGGCAAGATAAATATTTATTAGAGAAATAAAAGGGCCGAGAGAATCAAGATATCATTCTGTTACTATTCTGAAGGTAGAGCTTGAGATTGACTGGTATGCAAATCAATGGGAAAAAAAAAAGAAAATTGGGAACCCCTTTGCGCCACCCATTCGCCTAGTACAGTGGCATAATAAAAGGAGAAAAATAAACTATTGGCCATGCCAGGCTTGCTCTTGACGAGCAAAGCCACAAAATATCCGAATCCATATGCAGTATCAAGAGGACAATACCCTACCGCATGCCGCCCTGCATCAATTGCTGGCGTAGCAGCATGATCTGGCTTCTTTCCATAGGAGGCAAAGCATCAATAGTAGCCTGGGGCATGCTGAGGACTTGCTGGAGGAGCTCCTCCTGGCCGTGCATCGGGGCGGCAGGCTGAACCGGGGGAGGGGCGAAAGGAGTTCCGGTGACAGGCGGTGTAGAGATCTGGCCAGGAACACCGTACTGTTGAAATTGTTGAGGAGTTGGCTGTTGAGGAACTTGGGGAGGCTGGGCGGCCTGTTCGACGATGGAACCAAGCAGCTGGTATTCGACCAGGTTCATGAGGAGTAACGCCTGGAAGACGGCATAGGCGAGCTGAGGCGCTTGGCGCAGCAGCTCAGTGGCGCGCGCCGGGTCGGCAACCGCAAGAGATTTCATTTGTGTCAGAACATCGAGCAGTTGGTTTGGTGGGAGGGATGCGAGAGTGTGGGAGATGGCGTTGGGGCAGTCGATTTGGGGCGGGAGTTCCACGCCTGGGGGAGAGGAGGCAGCGGTGCGGAACCTTGAATCGGTTGCTGCTGTATGGGATCTTGGTTCATCATTGGTTGCGATTGCTGCGAGTAATCTGGAGGTACGGAGTCCTTCTCGTTGTTGTGAGGCCAGTCAACACGGATCTTGCGGCCCATGACTTCGTGATCGTTGAGGTTGCGCACCGCCGAGGCGGCGGCATCGGCGTCCGCAAAGTCTGCAAATCCATAGCCCTTGGGCTTGCCAGTCTCGGGGTTCATCATCAATCGAAACTTGGTAACGGTACCGGCCGTGCTGAGGATATCTTTGACTTGTTCCTCGGTGAGGTCTAGAGAAAGATTAGAATCGCATAGGTTAGACAGAGAGCTGTATCGACATACTGTAGGGGATATTCCCCAGGAATACACTCTTCCCAGTCCGGTCGGGCGCCATGATTGCAATAGGGAATGAAATGCGAGTGAGAGAGAGGCAAGAAGTCGAGGCAAGCAAAGAAACGCTGATTCTGCCCGACTTTCTCTTACCGCCCGCGACCTCACCTCATCCGCTCGAGCATCATACCAAGTTAGTCTCTATCCATCTCCAATACTCTCCGCGCACTTCCACACATCATGTCTCAAAATCAAAGGGAGGCTTGGGAGCGCCTGCAAGTTATGCTGTCGAAGCGCAAGGCCGGCTTCGGTGGCGGATTCCCATCCGGTGGTGGCCGAGGAGGCATGGGACTTGTCGGAACTCTTGTTCTGGCCGGTATTGGCACCTACGTCGCGTCTAATGCTCTGTTTAACGGTACGTTACACTCATCTACCCAAGGAATCAAGCTTCTAACTAGTTTTTAGTGGACGGTGGTCACCGTGCCATCAAATACTCGCGATTGGGTGGTGTCCAGAAGGAGATCTACAACGAAGGTATGAAAACTCACTAGCTGAAGCAAAGAGCTCTCTCTGACATTGGAATGACTTTAGGAACTCACTTCCAAATCCCTTGGTTCGAAACTCCCATCATCTACGATGTCCGCGCAAAGCCTCGCAGCATCCCTTCTCTTACCGGCACCAAGGACTTGCAAATGGTGAACATTACCTGCCGTGTCCTATCCAGACCCCGTGTGGATGCTCTCCCCCAGATCTACCGAACTCTTGGCCAAGACTTCGATGAGCGTGTTCTGCCGTCCATCGTCAACGAGGTGCTGAAGAGCGTTGTTGCTCAGTTCAACGCCAGCCAGTTGATCACACAGCGTGAGAACGTTGCCCGTCTAGTGCGGGACAACTTGGCTCGCCGGGCTGCCCGTTTCAACATTGCTCTGGACGATGTTTCCTTGACAGTACGTACCCTCTTCCCCACTTCTAGCCGAAACTGCTCCTAACACGGTATCTCCACACAGCACTTGACCTTCTCCCCCGAGTTCACGGCCGCCGTTGAGGCCAAGCAGGTCGCACAGCAAGACGCTCAACGTGCTGCATTCATGGTGGACAAGGCCCGCCAAGAGAAGCAGGCCTTCATTGTCCGCGCACAAGGTGAGGCCCGCTCCGCCGAGCTTATTGGTGACGCCATCAAGAAGAGCAAGAGTTACATTGAGCTCCGGAAGATTGAAAATGCCCGTCACATTGCTCAAGTCCTACACGAGAGTGGTGGCAAGAACAAGCTCTACCTGGACAGCCAAGGATTAGGCCTGAACGTCAACGCCCACAGCGAGGAGGGCAAATAAATTCATTCCGCTTGATACTTAATGGCGCTGCTGGAGGGATGTGAATTATTGTACAAATAGCTGGATTACCAAGCATCTGAATGTGGTCTCTTCTCTATTATTTTCCAAGGTTTCTTCAAACATAGTAAATTTTTTGTATGTAAGTAGTAGCTGTAGATCCCCAAGGCTGATATATATTTTCTCCATGCGGGGACGAAGGCGGCGAGACGATTTTTCTGACTCGGAGGGGTACCACTTTCGTTGATAACAGTTAACACACTTGACTAGCATTGACTAGCAAGTATCACATTTAATTCGTGAGTACCAGTTAAAAAAAATCAGCCAAATTCCCTTTTTTTTTTTTTTTTTTTGGAAATAAATCTTTGCGAACTCCCATTAACAGCACCTAGATCATGCCCGAAGTCATCGACGATACCGCAGTGCACCTCACTGAGGTCGACATCGACCTTGACGTGCAAGAAATCCTCCTCGCTGCATCACAGCATGACCAGTCCAAGCTGCGCCAGCTCCTCCGCACCCAGTCCATGCTACCAGATGCCGCAAACGTGAAAGACACCGAGACAGGCTTCTCACCTCTGCACGCCGCAATCGCCGCCTGCGAGCCCGACACAGAGACCGTCAGCACCAATGGCGCAACCACCTCAGACTCGAACCCCAGTCTGGACGCCGAGACTGTGAAATCAGCAGTGGAGACGGTCAAGTTCCTCCTGCAGGAAGGCGCTATCTGGAACGATCTCGACGCAAACAACGAGACACCCGGTTGTATCGCGCGTCGCATCGGCGCTCTCGAGCTATACGAGTTGATCGTCGACGCAGGTGTTCGCGCAGAATTGCTGCTGAACCGCCTTGACGCATACGAAGAGCTATCCGATGACGACGACGAAGAGGAGAAAGCTGAGGCTGGGGCTGAGGCTGAGACCGAGACAGCACCTGAACTCGTTGATGCCTCCGCCGAACCCACGACAGAAACCACGACCACAACCACAGCCACCCCTGCCAACCCCGAAGTGTCCAACTCGCAGTATCTGGAGTCGCGTTTGAACATCTCGAACGACCGGATCCTGGACGCAGACCAGAACGGCGTGATGATGGCCTGGGAAAGCGATATCATGCGCAAGTCCGCGACAGCGCTGCTCCCGACACCCGGACTGAAGGTTCTGAACATCGGTCACGGGATGGGGATTGTGGACGGATTCTTCCAGGAACAGGGACCGGCTGTGCACCACATTGTCGAAGCGCACGAGGAGGTCGTTACGGAGATGAAGCGACGCGGGTGGGATACTAAACCCGGTGTTGTTATCCACCAGGGTCGTTGGCAGGATATTCTTCCTGGTCTTGTGGCGGCTGGGGAGACGTTCGATGCTATCTACTACGATACGTTTGCGGAGTCGTATGGT